TTACTCGAAAATTGAAAAAACAACTACAATTATGAAGATTCATTATTTTATAATGAAATGTGTTCATCAAAAACAGATCTGGAAATAAGGTCATGTTCGATTTTTCAAAAACGAGTGTCTTTTGCGAAGTTTTGTGTCAAACATAAGCAACTTTTATTTTCTTTAAACCATTTTTTGAAAAAAAACACGTTTTTAAAAATTAAATTGAGATCTTAGATAGCATTAAGTACCCGTAAGAGAATGGTAAGAAATGTTCGTTGAAGAGCCTGATTTTGTGAAAATGAAAGGGGGGGAAAAAAAAAAGAAAAGAAAAAAGAAATCGGCGTCTTCCTACAACTGTGCAACTGTGTATATACATTTTTTCTCAATGAAATGTGTTCATAAAAAATCTTTAAATAAGGTCATGTTGAATTTTTTTGAGAATATGAGTATTTTTTTCTGTAATTTCGCAAGAAACATAATACCCGCTCCCAATTGACTAAGCTTCGTCTTTGGCGTCTTCCTACATCTACAACTGTAAAAATACAATTATATTTCTTATTGAAATATGTTAATAAAATAAAAAAATATCTTCACAGAAGGCAAAGTTCAGTTTTTGTGAATATGAGTATTTTTTGTGTAAATTGGCGACAATGTCGCCCGCTATTTAGTTTCCGTGCATTTTCCGATGATTTTGATCGTACGATTAAAGACAGGACCTGTCCCTCAGGATTTTCCTACTTTTCCGCACTATTTGCAACCTTGGAATTTTAACGTTTTGTCAATATATTTTAGTTTGAATAAATGAATAAATTTTATGTCTTGTATGTAATTTATATTCTCCTACAATTGATGTCATCTAACAGAATTAAAGTAAATCGATATAATACTCATAGTTCTAATTGAACATCGGAAATTATGTAATACCCAGAATAATATGGTAAGTTGCGTATTTTGTTATTATTTCAATATAATTTGCTCAAAATTAGCAGTAATATAGTGGTAAATATGCCTAAAAATATTAAACACACAAAAAACAAAAGGAAATTGTTTGTCACAATTACATTCAATGTATTTGATGAGTTTGGCCACAGATTTTTTGACAGACCAGTATTAAAAACGTTTTGAAATAACTCAGAATCACATAATTTTCAATTTAAAAGTTGTTTCTTTAATTTTTCATTATCGCTAAACGGGGTGAATAGGAACACTTTTTTTTGTTCAAAGACCTATATCTCCTAATCCAATCGTGGTAAAGTGATGAAACAAAATCTATTTTATGGATCTTGATCTGTAATTTTGAATCCTATTTCTGATTTACTGTAAATTTTTAAAAGGGAATTATTATTTTTTAATGCCTGGATCCTATTGGTCCGATGGTCGGGATGAATAAGATCAGACATGTAATTTTCATTTCTTAACCCATTGAGACGCTCGTTGGGAGAATAGGATCTTTTTTTTTTTTTCTTTTTTTTTTTAATGTTTGCAAAAGAGGAAACTTAAATACATGTACTACTGCAATTATTTTATGTATAAAAAGTTACTAAATTGACGAAAAAATTAAACATGCAAAATCATACTACTTATTCTTAGTGCAAATTGTTAACAAAAAATGTGTTGTCCCTTTTGAATTTTGGAGACTTTTATTCTCTCAACTTGAACAGGAACCATTTCACATATATCATCTACATCTGGGTAAACAAACACAGTTGTTTTCTTTCCAACCCTCTTTCGGAGTCACTTCACTGTTAATAGGGATTTAGAAGAGGTGACAATTTTTCCTATGAATCTCCTGTTTCGCTTGTTCGTTTCAAATTTAACTATGACAAAGTCACCAGGACACAGCTCATAAGGGACAAACGTCTCAGATTCTGTAATGTTGCTTGTGCTGGCGCCTGTGTTCTCTTGCAGTCTAGAATTATTGCTGGCAGGCAATTGTGAGTTTTGATCAGGATCTTCATCAGATTCTTTATCATCAATTTTAGGATCTTCATCACATTATTTTTCGTCAATTTTGGGGAAATCTTCTAAAGAAACACTTTTTCCAGCATGTACAGGAACCCTAGATCGCCGTTGTCTCAGAGGCGTTTCACGGCTCCCTACCAACTCTTGCAACAGCTGGATTAGGGGTTGATCAACATCCCCTACACGTATGGGTTCTTCATAACTCTCAAAACTAGAGACCCTGTTTATTACTTCATTTGCATTAAATGGTATGAAACCACTTTTTTCAAATCCAGCGTTAATGTTGCTCTCAGCATTTTTTGCTAGTGTCATCACAAGAAAGTTCCGCAATCTTGGAAACTTGTCCTTGGGAACAGTAGTCTCATTACGACCAGGACCCATCTTCCACTTCTGTAAAATATTACGCCAACTGGCCTTTAAAGGCCGAAAAAATGAGACATCAAGAGGCTGGGTGAGATGGGTCGAGTTCTTTGGTAAAAATATCATCCTTATGCCATTTTCTTCTCACGTTTTTGTTGATGTCACAGTTAAATGCGTGGAAAGGTTGTCGCCGATTAAGATATTGGAACCCTCTAAATTTTTGAAGGCAAAATAATGGTGGTAATCCAGTCATCAAAACATTGAGAGTCAAACCACCCACTTTCACTTCTATTAAATCGTGTGCCCTTGGGGGGCACACTCCATCTAAGAGGCATACAAATGTCTAGACCGATAAACAACATACAAAGGCAAGAGTGTTCCATTTGCTGCAGCAGCAAACATTACAGACATTGCTGCTTTGGATGTGTTCATTACTCTCTCGTGATATTTAGATCCCCTTTTCGTGATGACTTTCACATGACAGTAAATTCGTGACCCGGTAAGTTATTTTTGATTTTTTTCACTATTTTACTTTTTCGATCGAGATATCCTTTGACGAACAAACGACAAGTCAAGCGATTAAAGGGATAGCCCCAGTCAACACAAGTGACAAGCCTGTCAACAGTTGATGCCTCTTCGTCTGCGGAGAGTGCAGTTTGTCTCCCTTGGGGAAGCAAATCCTTTTTTTATGTGTCTATGTAAAACTGTGTAGAGAATGTTGAAATTCCTGGTCCGTTTGTCTAATGCTGCACCCTCTCTTCATAGTAGCAATGGCTTGCTCGAATTCATCTTTGCTCCTCTTAGGGTTTCCCACGAGGGTCAGGGATATCATTTCGAGGCATTTTAACTATCCTGTAAGTTTAAACAAACAAACAATTCAAATAGATTATACTCAACAGTTAGGAAGTATAATTCAACCATCTGCAAGTCTGATTATAGTCATTTTCCTCTGATCCCATTCACCCCGTATCTTTAGAAAGTGTTCGTTAAAATAAAAAAAAATATTAATATTGAGAACTTCATTTAACACTCACCAAAATCGGAGGAGCGACTGAATTTAGGATAAAATTCTCGGTAGAAGCACGCTCCTTGATAATAGAGAAATCAAGTGCACACTCCACAGTGAACAAAGTTTTGAAACCTTTGTAAACATGGGATTCCTCGCCCACGTGGTCAGCACACTGGAAGTCAGGGTCACCACAATTGTAACACAAATTGACCCTCAGTGCACTTCAGAAGGGCGGAACTGGTGATTGGCGCTCTGATTTGTCACTTTTATTTCTATTCGGCTTAATTTTACGCTTTTAAAGTTTTTTGCTTCTTTTGATCTATTATATATTATTTGATTAAATATATTATGTATTTTATTACTAGACGCACTAGCTATCAAAGTATTTTTTTCTGATTGAATTTTAAGCGTACTAGTAGAATCTTGTTTGTACCACTATCATAATAACTCTTATTTATCGTGCTCTTTGCAGTAAACTATCTCGAAATATTCGCTGGCTTACGAGATAAAAAAATATTACATTTTACTAAAGTAAAACGTATTACCATTCGCCAGGAGGGTTGTGCCAATATGGCGACGCGCGCAATTGTGTTGCCTTCATTGACATACACAGGAAGGGATGCATAGGGGCTATTAATACCCTCTGCTTTTTGTTTGTATCGGCCGTGAACAAGTCCAAATTCTTCTATGATGCAGCGGTAAGAAGTGGCAGAGGCAGAACTGATTAAGTGGTATGAGTGTGCGACATTATGCATACTCATTGATGCTATTATCCAATGTTAACATAGTGACGTGTGACAGTTTTTAGTTTGACGCGGTTATGCAATCATAAACTATGTTAGCTTCAAAATCTATCATATTGAAGTTCCTGATTGGTTAACTTTGTATAGCATATGATGTTACAAGTCACTGCATTGTAAATTGGGCAATATGTTGAGTTGGGGAACGAGGAGTAGCAACTCGGGTTCACTACTTTCTGATTTTAGTAGAGTACTTTTAAATGTACGATTCGTAGAATGCGGGTAAGTAATCGGGAGCTTCATATCAAAAATGAAGTCATAACGAAGCTCCGGATTGGACAACTGTGTTCAGCTGAGCGTCCGTCAGAAGACACTTTATATAAATCGAAGGGTATTCTTCGATTAAAATACCGCCTTTTCATGACCTTCAGCTGAAAAGAGAGTCATCCAATTGGGTGCTTCAATACCAACAATTTAAGGCGTAACGAAGTTCACGATTCCATGATGTGTGTCCTTCCCGTGTAGGTCGTGATAAGACATCTTGTGTGAAGCGGAGTATAAGTTGGCAGCTGGGGAATGCCAGGCATAACGTAATGTGTTGAAGATGTTTTATCGCTTATAAGTGATCGTTAAAAGTGTGCAGTGCGATTATTATTTTAGTTATAAGATTCATTGCCCGAAATCTAAGAGTGACATTTCAATATAGACGTCTTCAATTCTTGTTAAATGTGCGGGAGGTTCTTTCTCAGAAAGAATTGTAAATGGACCTGAGTTATCGTGATAAAGCCTTGGCGGTACTTTTCAACGAAATAATTGCTCTGTATGTAAGAAAATGAAGTAAAATAGTAGGCCAGAAACATTTTAAAATCTTTCATACTGGCTTGTCTCTGGTAGTAAAAAATTGTGGCGTTGTTTCTAGGTTAAGTTTTGGTGAGACCTTATTCATAATGTTATCTCGTAAAAACAAGGACTTAAGGACAATGAAAGAAGGCGTCGTTGGTAAATATGTGAAAAAAGAAACGCCCCCTGAAATCCCGATCATAAACGTGTGGTCCACAGAGCCTTTGCGAAAGTCACCACAGCGAAGGAACGCGAGCCCTTTTCCGCAGGCCAAGCCAGGTCATCAGACGACCATCGCACAGAAGTATGGCAGTGCGCAGGGCATGCCGAGCGCCCTCACGGGGCACGAGGGCAAGTACACGCAAAGTAGCTCAGTGCCTGACCTGGCGCACAAGTTCTCAGGTCTCTCCGTTGCCCCTCGCGTCGCCACGGACGCCGCCTCCGGTAGCAGCAGTGGCAGCAGATTTGTCCATCCTACAGCCACTGACATTTCCCTTCTCACTCCTGTCACTGGACAGTACTCAGGGTCAGATTTCAACCTGCACAAGATACCCACGCCTCAACTGAGTCCGAACTATTTATCTGTCCATGATAGCTCTGACTGTAGTGATTTCCATGAGCCATGTATGGCTGGCTACCCACATAACATTGAAGACCCAGTAGCCCACCCTTTACCGCTACACTTTCTTTCAGAGTCTGCTGTTCATTATCGCCAGAGGCTGCAATCACATGTTCAGAACATGCCAGTATCTGCACATAATGTGTATCAGCATAATAGTGGGGATGACTCTTTGTCTGCCAATGTGAATATTGAACAAGGGGAAGAAATGCCTCTACCTCCTGGTTGGTCTGTGGACTATACCATGAAAGGACGGAAATACTACATTGACCACAACACAAAAACAACACATTGGAGTCATCCTTTGGAGAAGGAAGGTCTTCCCACAGGCTGGGAGAGAATAGATTCCCCAGAGTATGGTGTATACTATGTGAACCACATCACCAGACAGGCTCAGTATGAGCATCCGTGTGTTCCTCGGTACATCTATCCGCAAGAAGTTAGAAGTCAGCCTCAAGTGCAACCTCGGCTAGCACCAGTTCCTCCACCAGCCCCACCTCCTCGACATACACATTTCCATCCACACAATGTCCTAGTGCCTGCAAACCCTTACCTCAATGAAGAAATTCCCCTGTGGCTAGTGGTTTACTCACGAGCTGCTCCAGAACTTGATCATAAGCTTCGTTGGGAGATGTTTCGTCTCCCAGAGTTGGACTGCTTTAATGCCATGTTAACACGCCTTTATAAGCAGGAGCTTGAGGAGATTGTTATGCGCTATGAAGCTTATAGGGCATCACTCCTATGTAGTATGGAGCACCAAGTAGTAGAAAGTGAATCTAAGACAACAAATGAGATATTAAAGGAAACAGCCCTTGCTCAGGATATTGAAACTAAAGTATAATTGACCAAAACTATTTACAAGCTAAGTTTTGCCCTCTAGGAATTCAAATTTTCAATTATTGTTATACTCTTCAATTTTAATTTAAGTGCATTTGACAGCTGATCAACAGTGATGTGGTTACCCAATTAGGAGTAAGATATTCTGAAGATTTTTCAAATTGAAGCTCTTGATTGGAAAACTTCATTCCAGCTGATCAGCTGTCAAATACACTTAAGTTCAAATCGAAGTATAGGTGAAATATTGTCTTGAGGGATTAAATCATTTTAAAGTGTTGCTAGAAATTTTCATTTGAAGGTAGTACAGTAAGTGGAAATTACAAAACAGTGTTTCAGCTGCAGACTGGCTCCCATTTTTAAGTGAACATAGGAAAATGTATATGAAAACAAATACAAATTGAAATATGTCAATATTAAGGTTCATTAGCTTTTATGTTCCATATGACATCAATACTATATGCCCTAATATTGTACCTCGTTTTAATATTTTATTTTAAAGTAATATATTAGAATTTGATAATGTGTATTGGATTATTAAAAATGTTGGCTGAATTCGGTACAACTTATGGAAGTCTTTTAAACCGGCACTTCGCACTGCTCCAACAGTAACTGCGTAGTTTAAATTTTGAAGGCTTTCTTGAAAAGTGGAGTGCTTTCTTATAAAACTGAATCTGTAATTATGTGGTGGAAAGACTCAAGAATGTTTATAGTAAATGTGAGGGCTGAAGGCCTGAGCCTTGCTGTGACTTTGATCCGGGCGAGTGAAGCAAGAATATTTGCCTTTGAAAGTAAATTCGCATTACAACGCGCCAGGAACAAAATGTATCAAGGGGGAAAATTACCTATCCATAAGTTTTATTCATTTCTATCGAAGCGCGTAGTGTAATTTGAGGGAGGGCTCAAGGAGACCCCGTCACCGGGCTTCCCTGAGTGGGTACCGTGTACCTAACTTTATCCCTAATTTTTTATGTGCACTTGACAGAGGTGACAGACTGCACCTGAAATGTGTTGTGTGATTTCAAATTATGGAATCTTCAAATTTCAACCACTGATACCCTCAAGATCCACTGGAACATGTGATGCAACCCCTCAAGACCTCAAAATATATCTTTTTATTACTAGTCCACCTGATTTTATCACAGAAAGAGGGATCCTGAATCACTCTCATAAGCGTATGACTTATCTTAGTTGGAAATTAATATTTATTTTGTCACAAATTTATCCTTCTAATAATTAACTTATTCTTGATAAATGTCATGTTTAGAAAACATAAGTATGTTAATCAGAAGTTCTGTATTGTTTGAAAAAATAAAATTCTGATGTTGAGAGTTTAGCAGCTAATAAGAACCACATACAGTTCTTTGTGTTTCTGAAAGCTTTAACTTCTTTTAGATCACACAGACTGCAAGCTCCATAGTGCATGCTTTTGTATTACCAGATTTATCTTGTACAAGGAATTCGTTAAGCTGGCTAAGCAGATTAAATGTCTGTTCACGCCATTACCATAGTTATCTAATAATTAACATCACATTACTCTTTTGAATTTTTCAATTTTAGAATATTATTTCCAAGTGCTAAAATTTTAATAAACTAATGAATGCATTGAGATTTGATGTTGTGTCCAATAAGAATAAACAATTTTTACTAAAATTATGAAAAATTTACATGTGTGTGATCTTATGAATTTTTGCTTTTTCTTTTCTGGCAGAAAGTTTAATTTATGAACTTTAATGAATTCCTAAATGTAAGTGCCTTAACAGAAAAAAAAGCAGATGTATTTTGACTGTTTTGATGATATTTTATACACTGAATATATATGATATGAATTGACATCCTTGTAACATATTAGTCCATTTTTCTTTCATTAATTTTTTTTCTCCCTCCTTTCTTGGCGGTAGTTTGCTTGTATTGATATTATTACACTCATATTTGTTTAGTCATTCCAGAGATATTTCAATTAATAAATTCATCTTTAGTAAATATTTGTGTAGAACAAAGTCCCATCTTTGTGTATCCTGTGATAACGTGTACTACAATGTACTAGCCTCTTCAGAAGAAATTTTTTACTATTTATATATAAGAAAATCTATAGATGGAAAATATATGACAACTACATATAACTGAAAATGAACATTCCATTTTGATAATGGTCTTCCTTTATTACTTGTTTTAAGAATGTGGTTTTGTTATACTTCACATTTTTATATTTTAATTTTTGAAAATTTTACAATATTTAAAATTGGCTCAGCAGAGTACAGTACATGTTTGTATATAATTAATATCAGAATGCAGAAAGGATATTAACACAAATTTCATTTGTGCTTGCTCCAAGTTCAAAAGTTTCTATTATAAGACAAGTTTTCTGTGGTAAATGAATACAGTTTAATCTGCCCCTCCCCTTTTTTTAAAAAAAGAATAATTTTTTGGTGAAATTATTTGGTACAAAAGCCTTTTCTTGTTACATTTTTTTCTTATTGCTAGTATCTCTTGCTTACACAAAATATAATGTTATTATTTTTAAATCCATTGAAAATTAGTCCACTTTACAATTAATATCTCCAGATATATTCTAGACCATTTCTCTCATGGTAGCAAATATTGTCTCTATGAATTATTTAGTGGTATTGTTGATATTTTCCCCCCATTATGCATCCATGATGGTTAGATTCTGTATATGATTTTATAGCAGTATTATGCGAGTTAAATATTTATAAATGAATGTTTTGTAACATTTGGGGCCATTAAAAAAATATATATATTTGCTAAACCATTCTATTTATCCCTATCCCCAGATGAATGTTTCAAGTTCACCCCCCACTCCTCCCCAAGTTAAATCTAAATTATTTCATTAAAATTTGGGTAAAATTTTAATAAGTTCTTTAAAATCAATTTAATTTTTCATTTGGTTTAATCTCGTGAGTGATATGAAAATTATACAACAGAAAAGTTGTTTGTAATGTAAAATAATTTTATTATTTCAACACAAAACTAGTAATGTGATAAATATTGTGAACATTTTTTTTAAAATCGATTCTTTCCCCCCATTTCTTTTCTTCTTTCATGAGAACCTATTTTTTTACAGGCCTCTTTATACCCTCTGCAGCAATTTATAATGGTTTTGTGTTCCTTTTCTTTTTTTTTCTTCTTAAGTTAAGATTTTGGCTTGAAGTTGAGGGTTGCTCCTGTGATATACAACTTAGGTGATTATTACAAATAAAGCTTATGAAGTTAATATATGTGTTGTTTTTGTAGCCTATAACCTCCTACCTTTAAACTAACTTGTCTACAGGCAGTGGCATAATGTTTGGGCCTGCAACGCTTGCATTGTGAGCGTGCCCAGGTAAACAGGGTCTATTTTTAGCGGATGTTTTTATTATTTAAGGTATTAACTCTTTTTACACAGGAGGTATAATTAAAGTAAACGAAATACCGTAAACATTTGAAAACTTGGTCTGGAGATGTTAAAATTCACTCAACTTTCAATTTTTCTTCCTCCTGTTAAGGACATCTAGAAACCATGTGTAAATTGTAATGAATTTTGGTACTTCCCATTTCAATATACGTTTACACTTTGTTTCTTCTTGCTCTTCTTGGACAACTATGAACCACTTTTCTCTTCCTTAGAATCCTTCAATCTTTAACACCTTTCTAAATATTAAAATTTCATTGTTTCTTCACTTAGTCCATTAATACAAAATAAATATTAACCTTCACTGTTTTTACATGTTTGCTTTTGTACATGTTACAAAAGGGAGGGTGTTAAAAAAAGGTCAATTTTTTAACTTGTTTCATCTTTGTAGCTGCTTGTGCCCAGTCAACTTCAGTATGACCCACACACCAACCTGACTTAATCAGAGGCATGTAGCAGCTATTACATAAGCATGATTGAAAATTCACAATTTTATGTAATGGAAACATTATTTAAGTTGACTAAAAATGTGTGACCTCAAAGTGGATCAAAGCTTGTTGGTATAATAAATATTGCAAAAATATAATGGTTAATTTGTAACATAAATGTTTCATTTAATAGAACATTAAACTAGTTATATGTAGAAAGAAAGGGAAATAATAAATTTAAAAAATTGGGAGAACATTCATTTTTCATTAGTTCTTTTGTTCCATTTTCTTGCAAGAGTATATAACAATTTTGCATAGTTAGCCGAGACCAAAGGAAATAGAAAACTAATAAGGGAAAGTCTGATATTCTGTAGCACTACTAGTTTCTTTCGCGTGTACATACGTATATATGGAGTAATATACATTAAATGGAGAAAATTATGTAATGCTGCAAATAATCGAATTAGAAATTTCACAGAAACACACGTGTTGGTGTCCCGATACCAAAAAAGTGCTTTTTTTTTTTTTTTTTATGTTCATCTGTGCGATGTATGTGAACAACACTAGCATTTCAACCATGCACAGAATATTTCCAAATTGAAGAAATCCCTGTTGATTTGGCCTCTGTCAAAGCATTGAGATTTTAAAAAAACATTTTTTAATTTTTGGGGGTACTTTTCATGAAGTCCCTGTGACATTTTCAAACTTTTCTCACAAATGGCTCCAATTTTTTTTTTTTTTTTTTATTTTCATGTAAGAATACAATGAAATACATTTACAAAGGTGGCATATTACATCTGAATTTTGGAAAATAGTAGACGTATGCATTTTTTCGACAACTTCCTACAACTATAATATTGCAGATAAGAGATTTTAACTTCTAATGATATACATTGTCCATAATTAGTTCTCTTATTAAGTTTATGTTCATTTTCTTGATAATTTTAGTACTTTCCCCCCAAAAATAACAAAATCAAGTTTTTCTCGAAAATGGCTCCAATTTATTTCTGTAAACTTGGTAGGGATAGTACTAAATGTACTCTATATGATGACATAAATGCCATAGTGCTCTATTGTTTTTATAACTACGAAAATGTCATTTCTTTACTTGTCTCTCACATTTCCAGTGATTTGTAAAAAATACTCAATTTGTGAGTTACAGTGCTT